GGGGAGGTCAGCAGTATGCTGGCAGTCACTCTTTCGGAGCGTCAAGTTACAGATTTCAAGCACCAGAAGTTTATACTTCTTAAGAAAAATAAAAAAGATATTTAACTGCTTTGTACAAAAATTCAAATCAATGAACAGTGGTAGAAGAAGTTATCTTAGTGAGAAGGAAAGTAGTAACAGGAAGAAAGAGAACACAGAATCGTGCTTAACTGCAGCAGCAGACATGGGCAATCACAGACTGACACAAATATGTGGGGAAACCTTCCATTAACCCTAGACTGACATGCTCAAATAGCGTGTAGTTGTGCAGAAATAGAATCTTTCTACCAATAACAATTACTAATTATTCTGAAACATAGCACAGCATGCCAAGAGATCTCTTGCTGCAGGTGCAGGAAGAAGCTATCCCCAGAGCTTTGACTTTTTAAATCTTGTCCTGAAAAAGGTAGAGTAATTGTACCATTTTCTACCCTTTTAATCCTTACAAAAAAAAAAAAAAGAAGAAGAAGAAGAAATATAAATTAGTGTTTCTTCTCATCTTTGGGGTTTTTTTCTCCCCTTCTTTGAAGAGGGTGCTAATATAAAATCATATTCAAGCTTCTTTTTGCAAGATTTTATCCAGTGCAGTAATATCAGTGGCACTGTATTATCAGCTTTCAATAAGCTGGATCACATGGGTAATAACACTGCTTCATTTTGAGCTTGAGTCCTTCAAAAGGTGCTCACTAATTCTCAACTTGGAGAAAAAAAAAAACATCACCACCGTTCTTATGTGCTAGCAACTCTGCGAACCTGCGAGTTAACACTGACAAAGCTACTTGTGATAACTTTAAATGCGCACCCTCCGCCTCCTCAAAACACACACACTATCTGACCTACCTCCAGTATCACAGTAAAGTCAGCAGAAGAGGACTGATAATTGAAGGGATAATTGAGCCTTTGCTCAATTATCATCACTCCACAATTTCACAAATTTAGCTTGGACAACTGATGAAGGTTGGTTTATGTTAATACAGCAGATCATCAACTGCAGCAGCTGAAGCTCAGGCTTGCGCTCACTGCTCCCACAGGGCAGCCTCCAGGTGAGGGGCAGGCCAGAGCTGCATAGGCAGGTAATGTCTAAAACTACTTTTCCTTCAGTTCCTGCAAGCTGGACCACTCATCTGCTTAAAAATAAGCTGGTGCTCAACTGCATCATCCAAACTATCAGTAACTGGCTGGACAAGATACGCTGGTAGTTTCACAGAGGCGGGCCAGCTTTTAGGAGTCAAAGAACATTGTGAAGACTAAGCAGTTAACATCTGGCCGAACACAGCACATTCTGGAAGAGTATTTGTATTAATGCATGACAGTCTGCGGTTTGAATCCTCTTCTGCTTTTCTAGGCTGATGATAAATATCATCTCTGGGAACCAAAGAAAGTCTTTCTCCATACAACTTGCAAGGATATATACCTTCTGTAAGGCAATTTGCACACCTAAGCCATTCTTTTAGTTTAATGCACATGTCCTAGAAGGACCATTAACCCAAGTTCTGATTCAGAAACAATTTAAGAGTACCCAAAGAAGGTATTTTTGCAGTCAACCATACCAAAGTAACATTATGTTCACATCAAGTTTATTCAAATTTTCTAAGTGATAAATGTCTCCGGCATTTCCACGTAAAACAATCCAATACATCACCAAAAAAAAAAAAAAAAGAAAAGAAAGAAAGAAAGAAAGCACTAGTCCATAAGGCAGTCAGTAACACTTATTTCATTTAAAGGTAAATTTAGCATTAACTTAAGAAAAATACATCCTATTTTACAGAAGCAAATTTCTTGGGAAAAGGAGACAGGAAGATAGTAAAACATAAACAAGAGCTGCAAAACCAAACTCTCAATCTTCCCCACAGAATCAAAGAAAGATGACTGAGCAACCTTTCCATATGGCATTTTTGCTCCATATGGAGCAAGAAGTTCTTTAATAATGAAACTGTCACTCTTATCAAACTTTAGCTAAAACATTCATTATATGCCCAAGATAATGCGGCCAAGACTTGACTTGGGGTCTCGGAGACTAAGTATTTTGAACCTTTCCCTTTGAAGATGCTAGTGGTATAAAATAACACAGTAAATCCCTGCTCAGAAAGACAGCAATCTTATTCGGCACTTAGATCTACTTCATAGGAAAAGATTCAAGTACTTTACAGCTCCTATGATTTACAGATCTTAATTAACATCAGTTTTATTTCCCAAAGGAAAACAGCTGCTTTCAATGACAAAGCATTTTGGAGCACTCCACAAACTGAAAGTAGAACTGACTGCTACCATGTGCACCCCATAGGAAAGCTTTCAAAAACCTTTCAGGGAAAAAAAAAAAGAAAAAAGAATATGCAGCTTTAATTGGGTAAAAGTGAGGGGTGAGCAGGTCAGTAAGTCCATACATTGGAACACAAGAGAGCTCAAAAATGCACAAACATTTCAGAAACCCTTTCATGGCCCTTGCAACACTAATACCAGACAGCACAAATTCTAAAGATTGTGAGCTTCTCTTTTGGCTGCAAAGGGTTTATTTGTTTTCCACTAGAATCCTAGCTTTTAAAACATAGAACAAACATTGCTTAGTTCAAATTTTATATACATATAAACAAGGATCTGAATGGATGTTATTTCTTAAGCCTATAGGGACTTACATCTCCCAAGGTTTTTTTTTCTTTTTTAAAATCAATGAAAATTACCATGCAGTCTATATGCATCTATATTGTCAAAAAGGATAGGCAAATGCATTTAGCCTTCAGTTAGGATTAAGGTACAGATTTTTTTTTTTTTTTAAATCAACTTCTACTTAACAATTCTAGCTGGAAGGAAACTGCATAATTATAAAGAGTTCATTCTAATGCAAAGTTTCATAGTTGGATAAACACTCATTTAATGAAAACACTGAAGAGATCAAACATCTTTGTTGTTGCATCTCACTGAAATATCAAAGCAATAAGACAAACAGTCTGATAGAACATATACAATTTTTTCATGCACTTACTTAAACGGCGTGAACAGAAATGACAATGTTGTTTCCTCTTTCTGAGTCATCTTAACCTGTATTAAAAAAAATTAAACCATGATATCCAAGTTCTAATGAACTGTCAATATACTGTCTAGGAAATTGAAATTTACTCTTGTAAATAACTATGCTGCACTTGCAGCTCCTCTGAGCACTGAACCAGTGCTTCTGGAAACCCAGATCCACTCTAAGGAAGGTAACCCTCCACTACACACTCCCATTCAGCAATTTTCACAGAAGGACTTCCACAGCTTACAGAATAAAGGTAAGGTAATGGTTAGAAATATTAATAGACCTTACTGATAACCTGATTCTATTAAGCTGGTCTTTATACCAGACAGGAACTAGCGCGCTGCTGCTATGGTGCCAAAGCAGTACTGCTAGACTGATTAACTTGCACCTGAACAAAAGCAAAAGTTTTGATGCAGTCGGAGTCACTTTGCCAAAAGCCATTCAAAATATCTTTAAGGCCTCCTACACCAGTTTGACTGCTGGCATAAAGTACAGCTAAGAAATTTCTAGCACACTGCATCTGACAGCTTGAAGTAGCAATCTACATGTCGCATCTTATCCATCTAAGAAAACATCCTCTCCAGGGAGCATAAGCCATGGTCGGATCAGCCCATCATAGGAAAAGCGAAAGTCCACTTGTCGTGTTTAAGCCAATGCACTACTTCTACTTCAGTAAAGAAACCCAGAGGGGTTTGCACACAATCCTTCCAAAATCATCCTAGAAACAAGTTAACCAAGAAGAAAATAGAAGATTTAATGCTGCATAATGATAGAATAAAAATGAGCTTAGAGAAAGGATGACTTGCCTTTTTTTTTTTTTTGAACAATTTCCCTCAGACATCAATTTAACTAAAAGAAAGAGCTGACACCTTCCATACTTAAAGCAGAGGTCTTTGAACTGTGGTGGTTATACCAGCAGTGTTAGATAAACTGCTTCAAAGCCATGCCCAAACTTCAGTCATTTCCTCTGCTATACGCAAGCTTTCCACCACAGATTTGTGTAATATCCACGTAATAGCCAACGTAATATCCACACAAACTATGTTTGGGAACCTGTGTTTTCAAGGGACAGAAGGTGCCAACTGTGCTGATCTTCATGCTAATCTCGTGCAGGAGACCTAAGCTTAGTTCCTTGTTCTGTCCTGGTCACACAGATGTTGTGACAAGGCAACAGTTCTTACATGACACAGATGACACTTTGCACTCAGAGCATTTCTAGGTCTTGCCAAAACTGTGATTTTTTTTGATTTGGGAATGTTTCCTACTCTGCAGCTGAACAGTATGTGGTGAAACAGAACCTTTGCTTTGTTCAGACCATAGATGTGTTCTCGTAACATAATAACATCAGCTATCACACAAAGCAAGATAGAAAAGGCTGAGATGAACAGCTGCAAAGCAAAACAACAGATATGAAAGTATTAGCTAAAAGTAAATTAAGACACTAATTGCATTTCTTTAATAGACTGTGCCCATTACCTTTTGATCTGTTTGTTTACTGATCCTAAGGTTAGGCTTTATATTCCAACCACTGTTGCAAAGGAAACGTTTCCTTTTCAGATATCAAAACTGAGCACCCAGAATCAAGCCTGCCTACCTACTTATTGCATGTGGGTATGAGGAACATTAATATCAATAAACATTAACATTCACGTTAACATCAAGGAAAACAGCTATTCGTTCTCCTTCCAAAAAAGTGTTTATTAGATTTAAAGTCTCTCAAACATAGTCCTCAGCTAGTCAATCAATATCATCCGGTATCTGTGTTCAATTTTAGTTCTTTGAATTATAGCATGTCATATACAATATATGTTACGGTATAATAATTTTACAACGAGCATCAAGAATTATTATTCAAAGAAATATTTTTCCTCTTTTTACTATATTTTAGTTACCTTAAACTGCTCAAGAATCTGAACAGCATTTGTGAATATGCTCTCCGCTTTGAAGTGAGCACTATTGTTCAGATATTCCAGAGGCAGAGTTCCCTGGCGGGGGGTGAGATAAATAAATAAATAAATCAAGAAATTCATGTTTCTTCATTGTAATCTTTGATACAGATTTATTTAACTGAATGGCAGACATACGACCAAAAAAAAAAATTCAAATTACTACTGAAATAATCATTGTAACACCATTAAAACTAAAAATAGTTTTCTGTCATCATTTCTCTACATCAGAAGGACTGTTCATAATATCCCAACTCCCACAGCTGCACAAAAAAAGACAAATAATGGAAGCTGTTAATACTAAATAATAATAAAACCCCAACCACTAATCAGAATCCATTCTTTAAATACTTAAGTGTTTCATTCAAACCTCTGCCTGGGCCTGATGCACCCATTACTCACAGCGAGAAAGTGAGTAATTCTTATGCCTTTCTGTGCATGTTAGAAAATTGTTCTCACAAGTTAGTTCAAATGACCAGCAATGGGTACATGATAAGTACAAGGACAGAATCTGGCGCAAGTTTCCAGAAAAAATATTTTGAAATGTGTTGTAAACATATACTTTTCCTGTGAAATAAGCAATACGAAAGTACATTAAAGATTTTATTGATAATTAGCAATAATTTTATATCAGATAACCTCTAGACTATATAAAACTATAAGAAGTAAATTCAAAGAGAAAGTCATCTCACAGGGAGGAACCTCACCGTTCACTAAATCAGTGGTACAAGACATCATCTGAAAGACTCCACACATGAAATTAAAAAAGTATTTGGCATTAAGTTGCAGGAAGTGGCTTTACAGTCTAAGCTTTCCTGACCATAATCCAAATGTCATTTGAACCAGACTGCATGTTTACCTCCTTAATTACAAATTAACAGAACTTTTACACAGTTTAAGAGCATAAAGTTTCAGATTATAAAAGTATCTGCCTTTCCAATTTAAAGCATCAGAAGACTGAATTCCTCAATCTGAAAACACATATACATAAAATTAAAACTACAGTCTCCCTCCTCTAAAGCAAATCTCCAAAACTATAATCTTTGCCCTCTCTCACACCCTCAAGTCTTGTCCCCAATACTTCTTCCTCTAGGAAGAACAGACTCGTATCGTAAGGTAAAACATCTGAACTTCTTACCACAGAATTCAGGGGGAAAGGAACACCGATAAGAGAAGCCATCAGTGGTGCTACATCAGCCTGTGAAAACAGAAGCATCCCCATTTTAACATACTTCCAGCTTAGAGAGCTAATAAATTTAGTTTAATTTTAATGTATCTGTATTTGGAAAAGTAAATGGTATGCTGTGTTAGAATTTCACAGTGTTAAAACCCTTCATGTTTTTTGTTTTTTGTTTTTTGTTTTTTTTACTGTTTCTAGTAGTCATTACGACATGATAGGATTCAAAATGTGAGACTCTAGTACTGATAAAACTTTAAAAATACATTTAGTTTAAAAGCAAATATAAAAACCCATAGTATTTAGTCACAGAAATTCAGTACCTCCTTCACTGCACTCAGAAAAATATAACACTTTTTAATCAGTACTTACACCATAAAGAACTATTCTTGCATTTACAATTTTAAGCTGTACATAAAACATATTGTTCTTAGAAGCGCTTCTTAACCCTTGTTCCCCGAGTGCTGATTACTCACCTTCTTCCCTTTACAGGGGGATTCTGTAATTTAACTATGCCCACTCAGCCCTTAATGCTCAAGGAGGTCCCCTTACCTACAGTAAGACTTCTCACAAAACAAGCTACTGTTACTTTCTGCTTGTATAAAGACCAGCTCTTAGTGGGTTTTTATCTTCCCTTAATATAAAACTATACACCAAATTCTTTCTTTGCTTCTCCACCATAAAACTAAGGCGGTGATATCAAAATCAAAGACACTGCTACAGCCTTCGATCTACTGTACAAAAGCAGACTCCAAACCATTATTTGCAGAAGATAAAACACACGTAGGGTAACATCAGGCAGAAATCTAGTTTGCTATTTTTACACATAATTTTACACATACTACAGAATACTGGAAAAAGGTTTTGTCTTTGAGAAGTCCATTACTGGGAACAAAGCGACACTCAAAACTCCTCTATAGAGTCTTGAAATAATATTCCCGTAACTCCTGCAAACCTTGAGACCAAATTCACCTCTAACTTCATACCAGTGCTTGACTAAAAGCTGTTGATTCAGAACCTTCCCAACTTTTAACCTATGAGCCTCAGTTTGTGTGTGTGTTTGCGTGTGTGTGTGTGTGTGTGTGTGTGTGTGTGTGTGTGTGTGTGTGTGTGTGTGTGTGTGTGTGTGTGTGTATATGTGTTATGTGTTATTTTCATGATAAAGAAAGAAAGAAAAAAAGAAAAAAAAAAGCTTGGCTGCTTCAGTATCAAAGGTTAAAAAGTTCACTTTTTTTCCCCTTTTACAGCACCATGCTATGTATTTGTCCAAATTACCACATGGCTGGGGCTTAATCGCAGACAAAAAGACCTACACAATTCAAGAGTATAGCAAAAGTTGATTTAATAATGATAGCAGCATCTGGAAAAATGTGATAAAAATACAGACACCAAAAGAGGTAACTCTGGAAAACCACACTGAGCGCACACATAGCCAACTTTGCAGTGTAGTATAAAAGCACATGGCAGGTGCTCACTAATTAGGGCAAGCATTAGACCATGCTTTGTGTTTAGCTGGACACCTTCACGGGATGCAGAGGAGGAAGCGTAAACTCAGCTCCAAAATGCTTTCAAAGTAGAAAGCAGAAGGAAAGCATCACAAATTATTTCTAAAGGTCTTCAAAAAAAAAAAAAAAAACCAAACAAAAAAACCCCAAAAAACGCACTCTGAAAACATCAGATGCTGTTCAAAGTACTTTGAGATAACTAGCATCAAGCTTTCAAGGAGTATCCAGCATACTCTACTGCTTTCTTTCTAAAATGGCATATGATCACATAATTTAAAATGGTGTGCTATAACTTCTCTTTCTGAAGAAGACTTATGTATGTAGTTGCCACATCTGTTAGCATGCGATTTAAGCTTTTTCATGCTATGTTTAGTCTGAGGGCCATTCCTGCAACTCTTCATTTAGTATTATGTAACATCGTCCAGGAAAATGCTATATTTGTGTGATCATTCATTCCAGTTCCTTCTATTAGTTTAAATCACACAAAGCTCATGATTCAAAAGGAAAGTTTATGACCAAATAAATTAGGTATGTTTGATACCTGATTGACATCCAGCCTCTTCAAGTTCTCCAGTTTCCATTCTACAAGAAATAACAGAGCACATGAATAGTTAATCTAAATATATTTGAAAGGGATAACTCAGTTGACATTTAATGTCTTGTTGCCTTTTTTTCTAAAGTGCTTTTACTAAAGAAAATCATAATTTGGCTTTAGGGTGCTAGCTCAAGAGGGGTTACAGATGGAACTCAACAGGCAGAAAGAGTAAAACACTTTCATTTTAGTTTACATTTTCTCTTATCCATCAGGATAAATTGCTGCCTGCAACTGTGACTCAGATCAGTTGAAGAAAGTCCAAGTTTTTTTTTCCCCTTCTCCTTCAATACAGCATAGAAAGCGATGTATTACCTCCATGCCAACGGAAAGATTCAAATGCAGGTTTAGGAGAAGGGCTGTTTAAATCTCTTTAATAGTTTTAAAAAAAGGTTAACCCAAGGTCCCCAATATACTGGTACAGAGTGGTAAACATACTTCACGTCTGCCATATGCAATACTGTCCAAGAGTAAGCTCAGGGGAAAAGTTCAATGATTTAGCAATCAGAACAAGTACAATGAAAGCATAGACAAAGCCAAATGTACTGCTAGCCCCTGAAGCTGTGGCACATCATATAAAAAGCTGGTTCAAAAACAGTGTTTTCTTGCTCTCCATTAGCCTCTTAGGAAATGAGGAGGAGATTGTTCTTTGTGGGGTGGAAAGTTATTTCAAATTAGAGTTTAGCTGTTTTGGGTTTTTTCCCCTCATCTGTGTTCGTTTCTAAGTGTTCAAGTTAACTGCCCCACTACCCACAGCTATAACATGGGGAAAAAAAGAAGAAGGGGGGTAAAAAACAGATATACAGTTAGGAAAAAGTGATAGGGGTTGGAACAGAATTGCTGACACAATACTTAAAATGCTGTCAGCAGTCAACTACTTACCTGGAGCAGGTCTCAAGTACAGCAGGAAACAAGTCGGGGCAGTTGCCCTCCACTGGGGAGCCGCAATTAACGTTAGCAACAGGGACACAGCTCCCTTCCTCAGTATACACAAAAAGCTAAACGGGCCAGTCACTGACTTCTGTTAATGCATCTTCTAACTGACATCGAGGAACACAGAACAGCACAGACCAAAGTAGGAGCCTGCCCAGCACCTCAGAATTGCAACCGGTTCATTCGGACCATTCCCTATACAACCACATTGTCCCAAAGCATCCTTTGTGTTTATATAAAGGTGAAGGTTTAAAAACATTGTATAAACACACTGCATTAAGAATACTGGTAAACCATAGTTCAAAATTCTGGTTTACCTTATTTATTTTCCAAACAATATGGACCTAAATCCTAGACCATCCCCTTTCCTTCATCTTTCAGTGTACCCTGTCCATGCCAGACCCAACCTGTCTAAAAATTGCCCAAGACAGGAAATATTGCTATTTTAGACCTTGTATGTGCAAAACTAATTTTCAGTAATTAGTTGATAACACAGCTACTTTCAGGGGTCTGATTACAGCTTCATCGTTACGTGTGAAGAGAACTCTTTAACAGCAGCTATGTATCTTAACAACAGTAAGAAATAAAGTTACAAGGCGTTCCCATGGCAATACATGGGAATTATCAGCATTAATCACGAATTCTGTGTTAAACTTATGACAAAACGAACAAGTTCTTGTTTACTTTTGCTTCCTGGAAAAACAAACAAGTCCATATTTCTAGAGATATAGATTCTCACCTATATCTCTGTTACATAATAGCACAGTTTGTTTTCCTTTAACTAATGCTTTCTAATGAAAGGCAATTGACTGTCTACAGCCACAACGTGTTTAAGGCAGGGAGAAAGTAGCTCTGCTAGAGGAACTTCTAGCTTTGCTAGAAACTTTTAAATCTTGGCCTCCATTACTCAAATATTTCCAAAAGGCACAAAACTATGACATCTGTTACCATTGCCTTAGATCAGGTGCCATAACACACTAAATGCAAGTGCTCTCGAGGAACAAGACCCACCTGGAGACTGGCCAGTCTGGGTTGTGCTCACGTGAGTGAAAAAGAAACATCTTGAATTCAAATGCTGGCCATACAGTTTTATGATCCCAGCTCACTATTTAGGTTTCCCATAAGATGTTCAGCACAGTTTTCCATCTTTTTGATAGGATTTTCTTCTTTATCCTGCCCTGCTCTTACTGCAATCTGCTGAGCAGTCAGATGCTAAGAGTCCAGGGAAAGTAGCAGAAAAGTACCATTTAAAAAGGAACAAGACTATGCATAAGGCTTCATGACAAAGATAAAATCTCGCATAAAATCTCACACAAGCAAAACTAGCGAAGGAATATACAGAGTTCCCTCAGCTGCAGCAAGCCAGGCCAAGCGTCCGCTGAAATGAGGATGTTCGTAGATGAAGCCTACCGCCCCACGTCCTTCTGCTGCAGAAGGCAGTGCCGTTAGCTTACTGGCTTCTCTGGGGTCACACTCCAAGGCACCTGGCAGGTCCCACGTTGAGAAGCAGGACAGCAGCTCAATACTCTCCTCCTTTCTGAAGGAGGGTCAAGCCAATGACCGAACGGGCAGTACTATGCATTGCCCACAGGATGCAGTTCTGCCATCAGGAATCTGCCCAAGATGGTTACGTGACCAGCCTTGAGAGAAGGCGAAGCACAGGCGAAGACACTGACAAGGAGAAGGCCGTCATCTCAGAGCAAATTGTGCACCCTTCCAGCCATCCAAGGAGCATACATCATTCCATCACAAACTGGACAGACTAAGTCTTGACTGCAAGCACTGCCTCTGGAAATACCCCTACCCTTGATGGGCAGATGAGAAATGAGACAATTCACTGAGCCACCTAGAGACTGCTTGCACTGAACAGAGCATAAATTTGTCAGCTTTAAAAATATTGTGCTGTTTCCATGAACTCTTAACTCGGAGAAATTAGGAAGGATTGCCAGTAGATGCAAGAACTTGGAACGCTGATGTATGCTGTGTCAAACATAAATCGGACACCTACATATATCAGTGATGCAGCAATCTCAGAATGCTCTCCTTTCCTATGCACAGTTTCAGCTTCTTTTGTAAGGAACAGAAAAGGCAAATCAGAGAAATTTCAAGAACATTTTTATTTTCATAAATCTGAGATATTAAATATCTGTGGGGTCTTAACTTTGCGTAGGAACCATTCTCTGTATTGACCTGCAAAAGCGCCAAGCTCCATTTCAACAACCACTTTATTTTTAAGCCACACAGCCTACTGGGAGCTGCAATGTACTACTGCAGAGAAAGAAGACTCAGCTATTAGAAGATATTCTCATTACTCAAATAAAAGATTATTCCTAACAACTCAGAAGCTGTAAATATAGCTTCTAAGTGAACTTACATCATGCTTTTCAGCTGGAAAGCCGCAAAGCAAGCCCAGAAGGAAAGGCGGGGGTTATTTTTCTTTAATAAAAAACAAAACAAAAAAAAACACAGTGCAAGACTATTCAGGGGACACAGCAGGCTGCAGACATTCCCTCCTTTAAGAGAACAAACATTTCCTAACACATTAACAGCCAAAAATCTTCTCCTATTGTGTATCTGGAAGTTAGCTCAATACTTATTTCACCTTTTCCAAACGCTCTCACACTATTTTCATCACTACTTGAAGCCAGATGCTGAGGTTTGTACTAAAGCCACTGAGAATGAAAAGAACTGTGACAGCTGTAACAATTGGCAGTTATAGATTGACACTTAAAGACACTAAGTGTCCTTAGAAGTCTAGCAGATCAGCCATCACAAACAGGCATCAAAAAACCCAGTCATTTTTACTCCATTTTCCATCATTCCACAACTTATTTTCAATTCTATTAGAGATGTTATAATTTTACGCCAGCTAGTGGCCACAAAATGTGAAATGTTAGCATGATCTATACCTGAGAAGTCATGTTTATATAATTTTTGCTACCATGAACGTTCAAGATCAGGATGGAGTTCAAATCTCAGGGCTGAAGACATTTCGGCCTGTTTTCTCTTCTCTAATGTAGCTTGGCAAACAATTCAATAAAATAGCAAACCATTACCTCCTTGATCCTGAGTAACAGCCTAAGAGATATAAGATTAAGAAATAAAGCAAGCTGCAAAAACAGTATATGTAAAAGGAAGGGCTTGCACAATTCATCATACGCACTGTTACAACCTCAGCAAAAGTTCAATAAGCCACTATTTATTACGTTATATATTTGAAATATTAAATAGGTTTAAAAAAAAACCACAGTCATGTCTACTCCTCTTAAATAAAGTACAAAGGGAAAAAATAACAGAAAAGAGTCATGACACTTTTTACTGAGAAAGACTGTTTACATTTGCACAAGAGCCACACAGATTAAAACAAGACAGGACAGCCCCTGGCAAGTTCCCAGGGTTCTACCGTGAAGCTAGAAAAGGGTCTCAGGACGTGCTGGGTTTCACATTTCTGTATAAATAGCTTTTAACCTCTAGGAGGCTTCCTAAGAATTAAGCCTCCCCCGGAACCAAGTTACAGGAGTATGAATAGTCTCCTGTACGCAAAGAAAGAAAGTCCTCAATTCAACAATTAGGAAAGAAGAATTACTCTGATATCACCTACACAATTTTGCAACATCCTCCACACACATGCCATGTCACCTTTTCTTTCCACACCGCACAAAGCAAGATACATGACCATGAATGGAGTAGAACTCAGTGAAGTCAAACAGATGTAATGGTCAAACATTGCCCTTCCACTAAAATTTTGCACTTAAAGTTTTGCATTTTACATACCTTCCAAAAAATTGTCTTCAAAGAATTGGGATGCAACCCTCTGTGGATAATTCACTCCAGCACCCCAAGCAACGAGTGGTGTTAAGGTCTCTGAGGGATGACCAGCTCCATGGGATCCTAAAGCACACCAAGTCAGAACCAGTGTAAACAAACTTCAAGATGCACGGTGGGAAAAGACAAAACAAAAACAAAACACCCCATATATCTAAGCCCCACCTACAGACAACCTGTTCTAGCTTCACACCTTATTTTCTACCACTAAAGGCTGAATTCAAGCTATAGGATGGAAATTAGTGCTATTTACAATCAAGTCTATAAAAATATGGAAGTTCTGTATTAACAGGTTTTTCTCTTGATTTTTAATATACAGAAACAGAAATTGAAGTCAAAGTACTTAAAAGCTGTGGAGGTGTCAACTGCTCAGAAAGCTGTGAACCTTCCTCGAGTGCTCCATGGAAGTCAGAGACTATTCATTTGTGTAAAACCAGGCACGCGCCTAAAACCATACAAAATGTATCTCTCTGGTATCTAAATAAGGATTAGACTTCTGTTTCAAAAATAGGAGACAATATGAACAATGACTGCCATGTTTTCCTACTGATACAAGTTCATTTTCACCATTTTAAAGCCTAGTAGCACACTACTAAAAAATTGACAAAATGTAACTTCCTTCCCTGAGGAAATTAATTTTCCCCCAAATTAACATATCAACTGCCAAAAGCAGAAAGCTTTAACAATATGATGTCTCAGCAGCAGCTGCACTGAAGCAGAAGCCACATAAGCGTGAAAGAAATTTTGGTCATTCAGCTCAGTGGGTCAGGTACCACAGCAGGGACATAAGCCAGTCTCAAAGGGAATGAGATTGTCATACAAATGCTATGCCAGTCACTGCACGCTTCACACAATTACATATTTTATGTGTATAGACATAGACTCTTCCTCTGCGTGTGTATATATATATAGGTATACAACATGTGTTCACTAAAATTATGAAGGGCATGAGAGAATATCATATTGTTTCAAACTAGAGAAGAATGAGATAAAACTGGGAACAGTGCTGAGATTGAATGCGTAACAATTGCTATGGCGGAAAAGAAAAGTCAGCTTTGCTTCCTTTTAAGCATCGCTAAGCTAATGAACACACAGATCTGGACATGATAAGAGAATTCAGAAGTAAAGAAACCCCTTGCAAGGCATTCTCCGGCCTCAGAAGTAGCAACAACTTTTCTTCTTTGTGGAGCTTGGTAAAAGAGCAGATGGAGAGAGTGCTTCCTCCATCCTCCCAGCCTCAGTTACTTCCTTCCATCACAGAAGGAAAGCGCAGGTTTTGGTGAGCTTACGTTTTAGCTGAGCCACCAGCTCTCTCAGCGTTTTACTGAGACTGCTTTCACCCATGCTTGAAGCCTGACGCAGCTGAGACAGGCAGGCCAGCCCAGCCCCTGTCCTAAGAACCATTTTTCAGCCGGATCTGAATTATAACAGGGACAAATACTGATTTTCACTTGGGGGGATGTGGTGGAACAGGGAACAGACCCAAAACACACAATTTTGCTGGGGGAAGGGAGGGAGATGATACTGTGAGTTGAGTTCCTACCCCCAGCCCAACGTACTATGCAGCAGGGACAACGGGCTGAGGTGAGGGCAAGAGTGGCACCACCGACTTGCAAAAACCACCACTAAGCAGCTTAAAGCAAAAACGCATGCCGGGAAAGCAAATGAGTTTATTGGTCTTTGCCAACAACCACAAGTTCCTAGGTTTTGCCAAGTTTAGAGCATGTTCTCTTCCTCAATAGACTTTTTGCTTTTAAAACCTGGTGCCCATCTCATTCTGGAAATGGTCACTGAAAAACAGCAGCAGCTGCTGAAACTACAGCTCTAATAAAAAGCTACTGAACTAGCCTTCAGCCTGCTGGCTGGGGTCCTGCGCATCTCCTTTGGGCTTGGTCTTGCACTCACTGAAGTCCGTTTTTGTGTCTTTGACACTCCTGGCATGAAATCAAGCTTTTTCTTCTTTAAATAAAAAGGGAGTGACGGAGGGAACTACGACAGACCAGTAGCCTCTCAAAGCCTGAGAGATTAGCCCTATCACCTTTTCTTTCCCCTCTTCAAAAGCTTCAAGTCACAACAAGAATGCCTCAGGATACTTTTTAATACTTTTTTCCAAGCTGCTCTTCCAGGTGAGCTGACAGCAAAGCTGATCAGCATTCGCCTATTGACATAAACCTACGTGCTAACCAGAAAGCAGATTCAGGCCTATGCATATAAAAGGCAGGTATTTAAATACTATCTCTCCATATGTGTATGCATACGCACACACAAATATACATACATATACATGCATCACACACAAACCTGTGGAAAGGACCTGCGGGCCTTGGCAGACATAAGCTGAGCATGAGCCAGCAGCACACCCTGGCAGGCAGAGACGGCCAACATCATGGGCTGTACTAACAGGAGCACAGGCAGTAGATCGAGGGAAAGGATATCCCCTCTATACAGCACTTGTGACAGCTCTAGATATTTGCATCCAGTTTTGGTCCCCCAATACAGAAAAGACAGCAACCAACTGGAGCGAGCTGAGCTGAGCAGAGGACCCCCAAGCTGCGGGGCTGGAGCCCTTGCCCTGTGAAGAGAGGCTGAGGGGCTGGGGCTTCTGCAACCTGGAGAAAAGACAGTTTTGGAGAGAGCTAACAACAGCTTGCCCGTATCTGCAAAGGGTTAGTGAGAAGATGGAGCCATGCTCTCACCATGGTGCATAGTGGAAGGATGATAGACAACAGGTATAATTTGAAACAAGGGAGGCTCAGACTGGATATACAGAAAAACTTTCTGCCCCCCAAGCAGAGCCAAGCAGTGGAGCAGGCAGCCCTGAAAGGCTGTGCAGGCTCCATCCTTGGAGTTTTTCAAGACTCAACTGGACAACCTGTTCTGGCCTCGTGGCTGAGCCTCCCTTGAGATCAGGAGGTTGTTTCTCCCGAGTTCCCTCTGATCACATGAAAAAAATAAAATCATGAACAATCACAATTACTTGAAATATAGAAGAAGAATATACGTCAAAATTAAAATCTTTTATTGTAAGTGACAGCCAGCTCAGCAGTAAAAAATATTCAAATAGACTGTTTCGCAAGTGAGCAGACAGTAATTAGGCCGATTTTGAATAAATAAGTAAATGAATACTTTTCTCATCTCTGATAACAGAACAAACCTGCATCTTAGCCATTTGAAAAGTTTAGGATGGCACAGAAAACATATGACCCTGAGTTTTGTCAGGATCACACCTGAAGCATCCCTGGTTCAAAAGTATCATAAGTAATAGCCACAGATACACCTAGTATAGAAAGTTTCTACAGGTGCTTGGCATGAAAGCTGTCATGGCTTACTGCTCCCTGGAGTTTAGTTCTCATTTCAATTCGGAATTACCAAATGCTATATCTGGCCACTTACCCATTTATTTTCTTCACTTCCAAATTCATGTACATACAGATAATAGAATCTAAATGCTTCACCCTCCTCAAAATCAACCAGCTAGAAACACGTAAAATTGGCAAACTGTTTCTGATTTTTTTGTTATTTTTATGTTAAGGGGTGGGGGGTGAGATTTGTGAGCAATTCATAAGCATTTCACCGAATCACAGCGATTGCTTGCGATGAGAAAAAGTACTTGTATTCAGTACAAGCCTTAAATGCTGTTCAAACCAAGCATCACTGAAACGGGAAGTTTCTTTGCAGGCTGAGGCTACCTATACCTGACTGGAAAAAAAAAACACTCAAGAGTACCTTTATTTATAGTCTTTTCAATTTACATTTCTCTTTCAAAAGCTGGGATACAGACTTCAGGGGTTTTTGGGGTGGGGGAGAGGGGGAGAACTTTTCCACTAAGAAGTTCAGCCAGGTTCCACTCGCGTTCCCTTCGAAACCCAAACAGACCACCACAGCACTATCTCTAATCTCTGCTTACCTGCAAGAAAGGCTAAAATCATTCTCCATCTTCTCTGACAGCATTACCGCTGCCACCCTGGGCTGTTAAAATCTCTCTTCCTTTTTATTGTTAGCAGCATAATGTAACTATTGCTTTATCAAAGTCTAAAAAGATAGGTAGCTGAGGTTTTAAAAATGAACTGGCCCCTTAGCACCGCCACTAATAACATGTTAAAAGGCTAGCAAGAATATTTTAAGGGGAAAAATCTGAGCTGATCAAAGAACACCACACTAAACACTTCCCCCCACCCCCCTGGTATGAAAGCAGTATAAAGGTGCAACTTAACCACCTGAAAATTAAGTTTAATTAGTATCCTTGTGTTTCACCAGGTTAAGAGAGACTTTTTCCACTTTAATCGGCCGCATGCAAGGCCAGGAATGCTCTTAAAATTCTTGGGGTGGGTAGGGGGATTTGTCTAAATGAGGTCACCACCGTAAACCCTCCCCATCTGCCCTAATCTAATTACGCCAAAATTACCTCAAGTCATTCGGCCACTGCAGTCATGCCCTTCACAAGTGCCCCCTGCGGGTACCAGCCTGGCCCGCCACCTGCCTCACTCTCTTGCCTGTGCTTTCCGCTGCTCCACCTACTCTCCAGCTCCAGCCTCTTCCAAAATTGTAACTAAGGGCCAAAACAAGCAAAAAAAAAAAAAAAAATAGAAAGTTTGTTTCCGACTCCCTGACTCCCTTCACCTCCCCCTGGCACTTTAGAGTAACAAAGTGATAAGCATTTCTGCCCAAGCGGTCTTGAACAAGCCCACATTTCCTGCTAGCAGCCAAATAACGCAATCATCTCTTGCCCAGGCCAGCTCTCTTCAGGGAGGCTCTGACAGAAGTGGTTTTCAGGTCTGCTTCTCCTTCTTCTCCTGCTCCCACTCTCCTACTAGAGTTAAGCTTTACCCTATTAACTCTTTTTTGCTGTCCAGATACCTATCTCCATTGTTACAGGGCTGATGAGGTCCCCTGCAGCTCCTTCTTTGTTTCCTAATTCACAGGGGGTTCATACACGAGCAAAACCTAGCATATCACATCGAAGCAGAGGCTCCAAAGCTTTGACGGGAACAGAGCTCTAACTGTGCTCCAGCTACTCACCCATAAGCTTAGCTAACTCTCAACATTTAAAAAGGCTCACCCCAATCTGTCATTCCATGGTCAGAGGTTAAGATAAATGCAGTTTTTCCATCATTTCCATAAAAATTGTCAAGCATTGAAGCCATTTCTTTTACACCCTCATCAACTTTTCTAATATTCTCCTTGTATTCCCTGGGGGGGAAAAAAAAACAAAGAGAAAAACATTATTAGATTCAAGGTGGCTCTTGCCCTTGGGGAATCGCAAGTTATCCCCACCCAGTCCCCTTGACTACAGACAGCTTTACACTTTACAGAAACATAAGCTACCAAAAGGCATCCTAGATGAAATCTGTCCTCCTCCAGTTCTTAGATGAGATACCCCAGTGCAGTTTTAATGCTCCTGAAACTACAGTCTCAGTTGGCTTCTTATTTATGTTTCAAATCTGATCTGTCTTTGATGTCTGAAGATGATAATTTAATCACCCGTAGCAATTTGACATTCATCTTAGTTTGCCTAAGCTTAAGGAATTGTGGGAAACTGAAATTCTGAATTGCAAATTTTGGAAGTTATTTGAAGCTAGTAATTGAATATCAAATAAAGAATTTACAATGCAAGGACTGTTTTGAGTTAATTCACAGACTAGCAGAGATCCCAGAGTTTTGAGGGACAGAGGCTAACCCTAACGTTTGTAAGAAGAAAAAAAGTGGCAGTGATTAACTTTCAACCATCCAATTTTTCTATTTGTTGCCAAAGTCGATTTTAAAAGTGTATCTTTAAAATATTAACGTTAAAAAGAGCATGAGACATACAGCAAGCATAAACTTTGCAATGGTGTAAGAAATCAGGGCAGAGATTTTGAAGTATGCAAGAGAAAAATACAGAGTTCTACGTTCAGAGCATGCGAGGAAATGAAAGGAAAGCTCTCAAATTGCACACTTCAAGATGATGATGCGTACTGTTAATGATCTAAACTTTTCTTTTTGCTAGTGTCCTAGGAAAGCTACAATAGGGCTGCAAATTCCAGCATTATTATTTCGGAACTCACTGTTTTCTGTAAATTCAACCTTACCATTTTTGCCCTGTGGAATGCAAGAACTGTTTCCATTTTTACATTTAAAACTGCAGTGTCTCATACAGCTTTAACTAAGAAAAACCTGCTAAAAATCAGACTTGACTGAAGGAGCATTACGTAGTGCAAAGGAAAAAAGTAAAATTTGTCACTTATATAGACAAGACCTTAAAATATCAAACGCCAGAAAATTCAGAGCATAAGTAGTCATAGTAACTTATACGACCTATTGTAGAAAATCAAGATAAGCTGTCTACTTTTCTTGATAAATAGTACTGTTAAGAAAAATCTTTTAGAGAAAAAAAAATTGTTACTGTATGCATTCAACACCAACAGGAAAGGTATACATAGCCTCTTAAATTACCTCGAGTTTGGCCGATGTGCATGCCCATTTGTGTCTATGCCTAGCAAATGCAGGAACAGAACCACTTTTTCTTCATTTAGTGCAGAGTACAACGTTTGATTACTTCTGGAAGAATTAAAGAAGCTCTGTATGGAATAAGTCATTAAGATATTAATCCGAATATAATGGAAGATGATGGCAGACACTCTATTAAAACCAAAATGCAGCTGTTCTCATGTCACAATATTAGCAGTTATTAAAGCTATGAAAGAAAAATTAATTACTTCCTGATTTACCTTCAGGAGGATAACTGCCAACAGCATAGTCAACTCAAGACTTCAGCTTATCTAAGACATACAACACTAAGTTCTTGAGGGGTTTTTTTGAGTTTCTTTAGGCAGTGATAGCAGATAACTGCATCATCCCTTCTTTGCCTCCTACATAATCCTGGCTTTGCACCCTTCCTGAGCTCTGTTTATGGCTTTCTATTTCCACTAATTTCTTGATTTAAAGCTAGAAGCAAAGCTCTCAAGCACTCTTGCTTTGGAAACAGGTTCTGCAGGACTGAGGCACCAAGCTACAAGCCATTCACAGAAACCAAACTCAAACAGAACAACAACAACAAAAAACATGCTTTGCAAATATACAGACCACAGAACATACATCTGCCTTGCACATGTCCTACTAAGGCATCCCTAAGGCTGATGCCACGGGGCATTTCCCCCACAGATTGAATGAGTCTTGACATGGCCATTCAGCTGTAGACCAGCCCCATTACAGTAATGCAAGACGCAGGCAGACAGCTATTTCAGCATGATCTCCCTAGTAACAGCACTGCCCAAGGGAACAAAATTGGGTAGGATTTTAGTTAAAATAAATTAATAAAATTTAAAAATCCAGAGAACCTTTCAGGATCAGTAAGAGATAGGAAAGTATCTTTGGATTTCGCACAGCTAGTTCTAGGGAAAATGCCAGTAGATACAATGATCCATTTTTGCCATGATAGGAGAGAGGAATGCAGCAAGCAGACACCTTTGTGGTAATGGTGGTGTTACTGAAAACTGAAGCTCACGCATTACATAAACTAAAGTCACTGTACCAAAAGGAAAGCCAAGCTGGCAGCAAGAGAACCATTGTCAGGAGACCATGATAAAACTTGATTCCACTTTAATAAAAATAAACTCAAGAAAGTAAAAATTTTTTCTGAATATAGACAAGCAGTAGAGACTAACATTCACATGCAAGTGCTATTACGTTCTCAAGTTCAGCTCTTCTCCAAACAAAATTATGACTGAAGTCCAGAGATATTTAAAATAAAGATACGAAAATAAAATCAGATAGCACTGGTTTAATAGCATGATAATGATTTTTTGGAGGTTTCAGCTTCCCACGGGGGTCCATCTGCACATATTTGATTGTAGGCCAAAAAAGCCTTCCAGGCTTCCATAATTTACAGGATATACCAGTTCTATTAAATTGAAGTAAATAAAAGGAAATAAAATTTCAAAACAGACCAACAGTAAATTCCTGAAACAAAAACTTAAAACAAAGATCAATATTTAAAGAAAGGTATTTTTCTATCAAGGAGCAACTAAATGAATAAAATTTCCCAGGAGCAAAGCAAGGCCTGAAATTCTCTTTTCCACTAGATGGGTTCCCACGACATTCCAAAAATACCTCACTTCCCTAAGCACAAGAAACCTCTTAGCCCAGACCAGCAGCAGTCAGAATAGCTTGCCTAATCTCAGACTAATTAAGAATAAGATAACAAAAGGAAGGAGAGTGTAATCTAAGTTGCAGCATCTTTTCCCAGAGTAAATAGCAAACTTTATCCCACAGAACATTTTTAAAATGGTCTACTGAAAAAAGTAAGTAAGTTCACTGCAAGGAGTCGTCTTAGGCTGATAAAGGTGCTAAGTTGGCAACTGGGACAGCAACAGGAAGGGTAATAAACACTTAATCTCGTTCTAGTAGTTACCAACAGTAACCTTTTATATCCTTGTAGTATACTAAATACTTCTTTTTGGTACTCATTATGTGCAAAACTTAAGACCTACAGCCACTTAACAGTAATTTCCAAGCCATCACTATATTTTAGCTACATTATTTTGTCTTGTTTTTTTTTGATTTCCCCTTTAATCCTTTTGATTGTTCTGTTCAGTGATATTATCTCCTTTGTGTATTTAAGCACAGTGCCACCACAACAATTCAGGGGTTGAAGTACATGATTTACATTAAGCGGCTGAGAGAACTTTCCACTCTCAAGAAGAGAAGGCTACAGAAAGATCCAATTGCTGTCTACAACTACCTTCTGGGAAGGTGCAGAAAAGATGGAGCCAGACTCTGCTCAGAGGTGCCTGGTGACAGGACGAGAGGTAACAGACATTTCGAAACACATTCGATTCCAGTTTACAAAAAGGAAAATTGATTATAATGCAAGTACTAATGAAAATATCACAGAAGAAGTTTGGTTACAGCTGTCTAATCTTAGTACCATATGAAATCTTCATATCATATCCCTTCTTGGGTGGGAAAAAGCAAAAAGAAAAGTAAAAAAATGAGACTACCAAAAAGGTATAGCAAATACACGATTTACCAATGTCTGAAAAAAATACAGGCTTCACAGATGTCTAATAGAAGTTTTTGGGGACCATTTGCTCCAACAGATAGAGCCCTCCTTAGAAACAAGTTCCTTTTATAGAACCGACAAAAGTGCTGTTAAATGTATGAATGCACAAGGAGAAAGAGAGATTATACATAACAAACTTGCTCCTGCCATGAAGCCCCTCCACCTATAAATCCAGGACAATTTAATTCAATTGGTTAATTAAAGAAGTGCATGCTGATTTGTGCTCATGTGAGACTTTAAATCTTTATGCCAATTTTTAGATGCAATCTAAATGTACAAAGGCAGGATAAACAGATATACATGCCAGGTTTACATCAAGTAAGCATGCTCACGCACAAGGCCGCTACACCTACTTCAATAAATCACTCAACCACTGTACTGCTAGTTAGAGCTACTTATGTTGAAATCCAGCTGCAGAGATAACTACTAAGTCATGGCGCTCTGTGTGTGCAGATATTCAGAGTTTAACATCATTCCGTTCTCAATTCCAATCGTCACCCTGCCTAGAAGGGAGAGTTTGAAGTTTTCGCATGGTCCTCTTCCAACAAAAAGGGGCCAAAGGAAAATGAAGTACTATGTTCAAAAAATAAGAGAAATGTTTGCCATCTGCATGTCCGTGTCCGTTTAAGTCAGAAAAAGTCAACTTTTTATGACCATGGGTTAGGACACACTTTTAAGAAATTAAACTGAGGTTAGACATGCATTAATGACACACTCTCATCCCCAAGACTGCACAAGTGCTTGGGATATTTTAATCAATTTGACCCAAAAATAAAGCTCAGTGTTAAATATTTTGAGAAAAACAAATTTTTTAATGCATCAGAAATGCAGTAAAAGAAAACAACTATATTTTTGTTGTTAGTTAACCTAGTCTTACAGCATTTTGCTCCCCAATTTTTATTTCAGCAGAAACTCAAAGCATGGTCCAGGTAAAGGTTGTTTAATTGCAAACTGCTAGGCTACATTAAGGCAAATTCTGCTCAGTCCCCTAATTATTTTGAAGGCTTCTGGCAAAAAAGCTCAGTCAGCTCCACATCCATCTGGTTCTCCGAGACAGCCCCAAAATAAAATAAAATTCGACAAAGAGTTTTAACCTACCTATAAATGCAAAAAAAGATAGACAATTGGGTCTAGATCAAAGTAAGGGCCAGGGTCACTTTGTCCCATGAACAGGCATGAGAGGAACTACAAAGCATCATAAATTTTCTTTTCTCTACTCATGGTTTCTAAGCAATCTGCTTCTGATCCATACGATACAAACTAGTTACAGTTCACAGCTCTCCTTACCAACTGAATTATTGCTGGTTAGCACTCAGAGAAAGAACAACTTCAGGGTGCCAGAGTTCATGGCCCCAAACTTGAGGCCCCTTTTTATTCCTGTCCTCTTGTTATGCAGAGGAAGCGACAAGAAGCCCTCCTCACCCTTGGGATCTGCTGACTACACAGCTGAGTGTCTTTTACTTCCTGGAGCAGAGGCAGAAACCTAGGGACCACCTTGCCCAAGATAGGGTCAAATTATATGTCATTAAGTACTTGAGATAAAACTCTACATGGGAGAGAAAAATATTTTAGGCAAAGTGGATTTCAGATTCAAACTGTCATTGTTACCACTGTAGTTGCTGGAATTATAATAGCAGACTGACCTCAGTTTCAGTCAGCCTCAAGCTTTCATGCTTCTGAAGCAATCATTGATATACAATAGAAGTGATGATTTGTGGAATGAGTGTTTTAAACTAGTCAGTCAAGTCCTATCCGTTCAACAGCATGAAATTTAGATAGGCAAAGTATGTATTTAAAATAATGCTGATGGTTCCAAAGAGGACATCACCAGTAAGCATATAATATAATCTGCAATCTTGAAGCAATACAAGACAGTACCACCCTCAAATACCTGCGTGACGTCAAATCACAGCAGGGTGTAACTTTAAGACAACAGTTATTCAAGTAAAATTAAAAGCCTAATTTGATATGTATTACTCACACACATTACAACATGCAACCTAGCAAAACTAAGTTCAGGGAGAGGATGGCAATTAGAAAAAAAAATTTTTCCACTTGCAGACTCAGAAAAATCACTTCTTTGAGAATCAGCGAACTATAATGAACCCTTTTCCACCTACATCATTTTTTATAGCAGACCCACCCTTGGCTTGCATTAATACAGTCCAGAGATTTTGTGAGAAAATTTTATTAACTCTTAAATTGCATTTAACGTTATTATGAGTTCCAGAAAGTCAAAACTCATCTAATCGCTCCATTGATATAAAAAGTTAAGTCAATACCCACTTACCAACTTTTCATTATCCAAGTCAAGTGGGACAGCACAGCATAACGTGACTACAGACATTCACAAATAATTAAAAACCAACCTACGTGCGTTGGAATACTAATATATACAGCGAGGGTGTCACAAAAAAAGAGTAGTCAATGGAGCAGCATTGACTCAAGTCAGTTGAGCACAGCACCATGTGAGCCAGTTATGCTGCTTCAGGGCCTAAGATGCATTTATCACAGAACTAGCTCAGGCTCCTCTGTTAGCCACAGCACAGCATAAACCACAGCAGATAAGAGTCAACTAACTACACGTATTGCAATAAGAAACACTCTTTGGTTATAGTAGGTAGAATCCTGAGAGAAGCTAATCAAGAAGAATGCTCTCCGTTTCTTTTTCAAAATCAAGTCTTATTGGCCTTTCCACACCATAATGCCTGTTATAAAATCTTCAGCTACTCATATCCAATATTTTGAAGGCTCTGTAATATTCTGAAAGGATGGGTTTCAGATTATATGCAAACTTCAGAGAAAAATAGAGTATTTTAAAGGCGTATTTTTAAAATTAGTGTTGAATGACACATACATCCTTCAAATTTCCAGGACATTAGTGACGATAATTGGTTCAAGCAATTTGTAATTATTACCCTAAATGACAGATCTTTCATAAATTCCATACTTTCTAGATCTATAGGGAAAGGGAAAGATAAAATTATCATCATCCAGTTGTGCTTCTTATGCACAGGCAGCATAAAAAGCCTTTACTCACCTTAACATGATCAAAAACCCAAGTGTCAAGCTTAGCCGCATCTTGTGCTCCAAAATCTTCACTTTCTGCTGTGTAACAAAACGTATAAACGTGATCTCTACTAGCACCTGCAAAAACAATACAGATGGAATATAAGACAACAGCAACAAGTTTTCTTCCTTTTCTCTTAATCAAAAGTTCATGAATATTAATGTACAGGAGCAAAAACATATCAATAATGACAATCCTGAGAGAAGTTAGGGATAAAAAGAAGAAAAGAATTAAAATTACTTAATTTAAACTACTCTATCAGTTGTGTTCTTTGAAGCCTTGATACTGTTTTAAGTCATTAGCTTATCAGCATCTTGGAGGGCGATGAGAGTCAATGTTATCCTTTATATTCAGGTGAGGAAATAAAGCATGGAAAAGCAGACAGGAATAGAATAAAATCCAATTAAAGTAAATAAAGCAGATATGAAATTTAATTTTGAAGAAAGGAGTTTCACTGGGAAACTGAACAGAGGAAGCTAAGCATCTAGGGCCCTCATTGCAAACATTGGGGTTTTTTTAGGACACGCTACTATACTACTTAGTAATTACCTAACAGAAGACAGATTACAGTATCAAAAACTCAGACTCTTAACCTTCAGTTATTAAACTGAATCATATAAGACAATGCCATGTCATCATACACCACAGGTAAGGAAAGCAACAGGATGGATGCAACTTAGCTACTGTACATCAACCCTGGAAGCCAACTCAATACTGAAAACCAAGCAGACAACTACATAAAGACAATATTCAAGGTCTGTAGCTTTAAAACATGGGTTTGATATATGAAAGGGAAAACTATCAGACTATGTTCAAGCATAAAGTACAACAGTAGGTCCACTGACGTGAAAACACAGCATCTGGACAAAACAATTTCACTCTGTACTCGCTGTAAAGACAGCGAAGCAGAGAAAAGAGGAAAAAAGATGAAGATCTAGAAGAAAGTCAACTTCTGAAATCCTGGAAAGATCTGAAATTAGGCAGAGTTTAATGAAATTCCTCAGTCAATGACTGAGCTGTTAAAGCCTGGGTATGCTATTTCCACTACGTCTACATAAACTCCCAAAAGGGAAACATTCTTCTGTCAGCAGATAGCCAGAGAAACTTGCCAATTTGCTCAGCGTCACAATTACGTAATGCAGTTTCGTAGGCTTCCAGGGTTGCGAGTGAGCTAGCACTCCAGTTTAAGAGGGCTGTTTTTCCAAGATTATGTCCAAACCCACAGAAGTGACACAGGTTTTTCTGGCCAGGAAAATGAAAGCTGGCACAGACACCTCGTACAGCTTCCTCCGTTCCCCAGGAGATGTTACTTCTACTTATAACCCAGAATACTCATTGTAGTTTGAGTCTGAAAGAGGAGGAACAAAATACTCCAAGACACTTAAAAAAAAAAAAAAAAAATTAACGAGTTCAATTCAGCAGATAAAGGGGTTCAAAGGAAGAAGTAGTAAGCCGTGGTGATCACTGCAAGAAGGATCGATGCTCTTAGAGAGTACAGTGCTACACAGTTTTTCCACAAGTGTTACAAGCACCTGGAAAGATCCATCTTTGAGAGCTACCATACCAAACAAGTCAAATGAGAGTCAAATGAAACGTATGCAGTAAAGGAACACATCTACTACTCAGGCATCCTACAGGAAAAGAACATCCAACCCCACACTGACATAGAGAAAAGTGGTGGCAAAACGGGGCAATCCTAGGAGACTTTTGAAATGCTTAGCTTAGCTAGCAGATTAAAAACACAAAACAAAAGAAATACATAGCCTACTTTACTCCTCAAAAGACAGAAATACAAAATGTTTTAAGAGGTAGTAGGCATGCCTCTACAGCATGCCTAGTATTTCCTTTAAATCTGGGGACAATGGGAGGAGGTAGCAAAGAACGAATAGGGAAGCAGAAGGAGTCCAGGGATGAAAACTTTCTTTAGAAGTGAGTGCAAGCTTCTGCTAGCTTTGATGCTACCACTGCACTAATGGAAATAATGAGATGCCAGAAACTTCTGTACCAGATATCAGCTGTCCCTACTACAGACTTCCGTCTGGCATGTCATCTCAGCCCTCAAAATTACGATTCAAATATTAGGATTGGGGGTCAAGTTACCTCCTTTTTGCAGTAAGATTATGTCCTGCAGGAAGGAAAGCTCTAATTCTGCTAGTGAGATAGCTCCTGTTTCTGATAAGCCTTCTGAGGATCACCAGAGCCCAGACCAGAGAGAAATTTTTACTAGCAACGTTTACAGGTGCAAACAAGGGAGGGGGGGAAAAAAAAAAAAAGAATGAAGGCATAAGGACAGACAGATGCCAAACCAGATATCGAGCTCAACAGAGCTCAGATATCAGAAAAACCGACATCAAACAACAGAGTAGGATGAGGAATCCAAGAAATTCTGCTGTATCGGTGCACTGCAGAAACCATGAACTAGAAGAGAGCACAACAGGTCTGTTTGGATCCAAATACAAACACTGAAGTGCACAGTATCTCCAGAATAACCCTGACCAAGGTTCAGACCTTGTGCTGTTTGTCTCTATGGTCTTGATGGTACCCTGCTCAGGGCTCAAAGGTAAGCAATGACACCAGCCTTACTGCTAATTCTCAAGAAAGAGAATGGGAACTTGTGGAGTAAGTAGCAATCTAGGTGCAAAGGGTTAATATTTACCTCCCTCAGCAGAAGCAAGAGCTTCAGTTCCCTTTTCACTGTGGCTTTTGGTACTGTGGATTATGCCCCAGTCCAGGTCCATGACAAAACAGTAAGGACTGGACAACTTAAATTTCAGCTTCTAGCAAATCTCAAAGAAAAGTTCAAAACTTGAAAAAGCATTCTAAAAAAAATACACATACTTTGCATTATTTAAAGTACATTATTTTCAGATAAATTTAAAGGTCACAAACTTTCTCTAGGCGTTGTTACATACTCTAGTCCAGAAATGTCACGGAAAATAAAGTTAGAATTACCACAGTAGTTTGGTGGAGATTAAGTAAATGGAACCATTAGAAACTGACACATTTTAAACCTGTGTAAGCTACAAATAAACTGCATACTAGTTCTGAAGTTACTTTAGATATTCTCTCAGATTAAAATAAACCAACAGCCAAAAAAAAATCTGATACATCCAGATTTCTTGCCTATCAGTATTTTGATATGTAAAGAGAACCGTAACCATTTCTAGTTACTTTCTCCATACAATCCATAGTCATTTGACTGAAATATGCGGTGAATATTATATCTATTTATTTTATGACGGGACGAGGACCTTAAAAAACACAGAAATGCTGACAGGAAATAAAGGATTTTTCTGTCCCCGCCAAAAAACAGCAAGCATTATATACCTTTTATTCATCATCCAATGAAAGCAGTGAAATAGTTATTAAAATTCTGAACATTTTGGCATAGTAAAAGAAACAAAACCAAAACCAAAAGTAGTTCTGCAAATAACTCATTGGTTTGCAATGGGGAAACAGGGAAGGAAAATATTGCAAATACTTGATTCCACTTCTTTCTGCACTGTAAGAAGTCGAGGCTCTCCCCTCTTTGAAAACTTCTAACAAAGAAATAGTGGGTATATTTAATCTACACATGGCCAAAAACAGACTGCTTGCAGATAAAGCTTATACTGGAGAGGAAAAGAGAGAAGGGGAAATATCTTCCTCCACCCAAAGAAATTAATCCACCTTTCTATGATAAACTACAACTCTTTTTCCAAGATAGCATCTGCTTCTCAAATACTGTGCTGCACTAAGTGTTTCTCAAACACTGTAGCCACTGATCATGCTAAGTCTATTTTTGGAAAGGGTAAAAGTGATCAAAGTTGCACTATTGGTGCCACTCGCAACAAGCCTTATTTTGAGGCACACAGGAGCCGTAGGTATTACCCTTGTACGCCCCTTCAGATAACACCAAGGCTGCTTCCAGTACTCTGCTTATCTTCTTACTCAAGCAAAACTAGTTAGAGGACAGCGCTCTGGGAAATTCTTGAATTTGCCAAATATTTTCCCAAGAACATATGGCTCCAAAAAACATAAATAATCTGCACAAGGGCAGTGTACTACCTTTCCCCTCATCCCAGCCACCATCACAAGATTCCCCAACACAAGCTGCAATCAGAGGTCCTGGGAAAACATAAGTTAGCAGGAGATATTTTTGTAGCTTAACATAAACTTATGAGAATTGATCCAAGAATGGAAAAAAAAAAAGTGTGCATGGGGGAAATACAAGAGGCGAGGAGGGAAGAGACTGGAGTTGAGACAAAGTTCAAGAATCTTCATGAGAAAAAAATATACACTTTTTATAAAATTAGATTTCAGTGCTACCCTCCCTATCATTTTTCCAGGTTTGCAAATATTTAAATACAACAGCAGCATTTGCTCACAGTTTGTACCCCTCTCAGTTCTCCTCGTTCTACTCTGAGATTAAGGTAAACGGTGCGTATGTCCCCATTCTTCCATGAACGGAATGGGATTAAATTCAGAGGCCCTTTAAATGGCTGAAGCGTTGCTCAACAATCACATCATGCCCATCAAGGACCAAGTGCACTGGGCTGACAGAGAACCGAAACACATTGCCCACAAGGGGAAAGATCTCAGCTACAGGAACAGTACCGTGCAATTCCTACTTGCATATAGTTCTTCTCTCTGTACATTACTGTTCTGAAATAGAAGTCAGGTAACCCACTTTAAGCCACTTAAGGCATAGAAAAGGCATGGGTCCAACTCCACCAACTGATTCACTGGGGGCTGCATGCAAGAGAAAGAAAAGCCCCAGCTGTAGACTGGCAAACAAGAGCTTTAACATTCAACCAAAGAAAAAAACGTTAGTTCCTTTTCATTATGGGCGTATTTTTGTTTTAGCGTGTCAACAGAATTAGGCAAGGCCTGTGAAAATGCACGAGTGATAGATGAGGATATTCTTTTTAAAAGCTTGCTGCTTTTTCTCCACCTACTATTGGATTCACAAACTAGAAACGAGATACCTGTAAACACTAGTGAAAACATACAAATTGGAAATACTTCATTCATCCTCTTCTCTAACTCACAAAATCTGTAAGACTCCCTATTTTATTACCTGATACATGTTAAAGATTCACAAAATTTAAAGCTTACCTTTGGCAAACATTGGCAAAATATCTGGGCTTCCCCAGCTCCAAGTATATTTACTCTCATTGAAAAGAGAGTCAAATTCCACTGGATTCTCCTTCCAGCCTGGTAAAGGAAAACAACAACAAACACCATACACACACAGATTTCAGTGGGGCTGCCAAAACATCTCATTGACCGTTAAGACTGACAGTGCAGGCAAAATGTATTCAAAAGTCTCCATTATTTGAAAATGAATTCCACAGTGCAGGTTTCAGTCTTACTTCAGTTTCAGCCTGTTTGCAATTAGCGCCCCATTCAACACGAAACGGGCTGAAAACCTAGGCCAGTTCTATTATGCAGGATTTCAAATAAACAAAAAACTCGGCTGGTTTACCTTTTACAAAACTCAAATTCTCTTCAATGCTATATCCCCTGCTGTCTGACCTCTGCTCTCAGTTTTCAACATTTCAGGCAATAAATTACACACTCATATATCATATTACCAGCAGCTATGTTCCACCCTTTCACAATAAAACCTTCAAGATTTTCTGTTTCCATGACAAGGTAGTTGATGAATACATAAAGAGATGCTCTTAACAGCCATTCCTGCCAATCCTACGTTTGCAGATGTGAGAATGAAGACCCTTTCGATTAGAAAAATGGACAATATCAGATAATTCCTCTCATCTCCCCTTTCCAAAAACAATATATAACCACTACAAGTGTTTAGGCCTGGGACAGGGCAGAGCAGCATACAAAACAGCAAGTCAGTAACGTGAGGGCTTGCTCTGTATTCTTAACCACACAGCAACAGCTGTCTCTGGGTAAAACACAGTTGGGGTTTTGGCTTTGTTTTGCTACTGATCCTCTAACACAGTTTAACAATGTGGTTCAGCTAAAACACTGCAGCTCACTTATTGTTTATGGCATCTACATAACCATCTCCCAGAATGTCCCAAATGATAATTAAAAACTGCTACATGAAGAGGTCAATCCTAACCCACTTTTGCTTTTACTGTTTAATAGCACTATATTTAAATTTCACTGTGTTGCAAAATATTAACTTATTCTAAAATAAAAGCATGTGAACCTATTTTTCACAGCTACCAATAGTCACAGATAACAATATCCCTCCAGGAGAGGCTTATGTTTTCCACATAATCCTGGTATACAAACTACTATGCAGGTATCTAGCCAGCATTTAGAACCCTACCATATCACTAATAAACATTATTTTGGAGGGCAAATTCAAAGCTTTAGGACTAGCATACCTTTAGCAACTGCACTGACATCTTCATAAAATCCAGCTATAAGTGCAACGTGGCCTGGCCTAGACTCTGTTGGGACACGCGTATGAGAGATTCCCCAGCTGCCAATATTCTCTAGAATACTCCTGAAAACAGGATAAAAAGTAGTTAACGTTTAAGACTTCTCAGGAGAATAACAGTTTGTACATATGAGTGACAGGCAGATGCTAGGCAGGAAATGCAAAAAGCCCCAACTGAAACAAATTGTCACTGGAGCGTGCTGTGCAGCAATACAAATAGAACATTAACCTGCAAGTAGTTCAAAACTGCAATACCCTACAGAGATCATTACTACTGGGGCCCATCACCACTTCAAAGAGATGAGCTTAACTAGTGTTTTAATACACTTAGAACTAATGCGGTTTTTTGGCTCTTTTCTAATATGGTTTGCTTTCTTCCCATCAGATTGTTGCTGTCTGGTATTGCATTTTCTTTGTTCTTGTCATTAAGCTTGAAAATGTCTAGCTTAATCTTCCCCTATTCATTAAATAGGCTCAATTACAATTAGTTCTTGTGACCATGTCTGTCTTCTTTATCTGTGCTGAATCTTGGAAGTCAGCATCAAGAGGATTTAAAAACAAAGGTAAACCTAAGGTGCAAATCATTTGAGAAACACGGACAAATTCAGGCAAATCTTATATTTTATGCAATTACACCAAGGTGAAAGAGGATACATTCTCATCATATGCATAGAAACGTTAGTTGTATAAGCATTATGCACACACATAAGAAAACTGATAAAAAAAGACAGGAAAATAGAGGACAAAAGCCCAAGCATAAGACACAGCATTACAAGCTATTCCTGTCTGCTGGAGACTGCCAGAGAGCAAGCAGTGAGCGTTACCATGCACTGTTTTCTTGTCTCCATCTTCTGGAAGAAAAGAAAGATTCACTGCCTACTGTTTGGGCAAGGTAAAATAAACAAGACATACCTTACACTAATGTTTAAGACGTAAAAAAAATTTAAAAAGCAGTAGAAGCTTCTAATCATTGTTGTTCCAAATGTAAGTTACAGAATTTGCTAATTTTATAGGACATGTTCACAGCCCATCAGTAGATTCTGAGCACATGTTTGGAGTAAACTTTTTACTTTTAAATAGAGAACACACTTTGATTTTATTCAGTTGTTAATTAGAAGATCTGTATACTTTGTTTCAAATCTATTTCTCAGTAATGAAATAAGGCTCACAACAATCTAAAACGTCAGGATTCACACTAAGCTCACTGAATTGACGGGTTTTTTTGTTTTTAAACTCATCTTAGATCTCACATTCTCAGGCTCGTTTCAAACATATAGCCCAAACGTTAGAGTGAAGAATGAAAAAAGGTGATATAATGCTCTGTCATTTCCCTCCTAGCTCATGCCCCACTACATTTTAAGACAAGCAATATTTTAAATAAGTACTACTTTGAAGAAGAATTTCAGTATCAGTTAAAGAGATTTCTAACTTTTTTTCCCCCCACTGGAGACTGATCAAAACATATTGCACTAGCACTATTGGAAAATTTATGAAAAAATAAAGCAGTTTTGGCCCTACTCACACTTTGCAGTGACAATAGGTAAGAAACTGATTTTATTAAGTTGAAACGTAATCCTTTACTTTTGCTTTTGAGCTCCTGTGTTACAGGATCTGAAGTCAACAACACCACAAGTCAGGCAGAGGAAACATAGTTAGAACGGCATTGACCTTTTCAAAATTCACTTTGCCGTGTAAAATTATTTCAAAACCCTTTACTCAGGAGAATCTTTTTAAAAGTTACTTTCCTTGATAGCATAAACATTAGCAACCCATAACAATGATGGCCACGATATAATAATACAGCTGAAACATGCCAAGCAACCCATAACAATGATGGCCACGATATAATAATACAGCTGAAACATGCCAAGCAAGAAAAAAAAGAAAAAGTCTTCCCCAAAGTTCTCCACAGGCCAGCAAAGCAATTCAGAAGACCACCCGTGGTTCCTTGCAGCTCTCAGAACTCTGCTGTATGACACATTTTTCCAGAAATTTTGTAGGAGAAGAGACTGAATAGCTGGCATACCTCAGCCAGCAACCTGTTCCAAGCATAATGGATTATATTTATTATTACCTACTAAAACCTTGCTTCCATTTATAGCACATTACAACAACAATGACCCTTGCTTATTTAAAGACAATTTTTCCTCATTAAGAGAACAGCAGTTCCCAAAGTGTTCCACCCAGATGCGACAAGTAGTCTGACTATCATGCTGCCTGCTACTATAAAGCAGTAAGGGTCTGAACACTTGGCACTTAGGAATGAATGTACAAAAAAGTGAGCTTTTATATAAAATTGCTTGTATTTTGGGTCAATATTCTTGAAACAGGCAAGCTCTGCAATAACTTGGCAGAATGAAAAAAAGGACAGCTCCAGCAACCAACATCTGATCTCACTGACCCATTTTACAAGATGAACTTAAGGACGTTGGACAGCTCAAGGGTTTGGAGGTGAAAGACAGAGCCTCTTACTTCTCAGTTTTAGCAGTATATATGACAGAACTGAAGAGACCCTTGGGACTACTTGGCCTGTCACCTTTCAGAAGGCAGAGCACTCCATGTGTTTTCCTTTCATGCTCTCTCACATACACACACTTTCACATGTGTTGTATTTATGCACAGAGTGAGATGCAGGTAGAGGCCAAGGCAGACTTCACTGGCAGCCATGAACCAAGCTGTTAGCATCTTCACCAGTTGTAAGGCAGTTCTTCCCCTCCATTTCCCTAGGTATTCAGTGACAATGTTTCAATTGATGATTTTGGAAAACAAAAGCCTTCTGTAACTCCACAAACAAGGTAAAGACAAGACAGCAAGACTGCAAACCTCCCAGCACTAGGGTTTGTTTGGAAAACTAATATATCATTCTCCTTTTTATTTCTAGATAGGCGTGGTAACACCAAATGGTCAAACCTGAAAAAAGGCACACTTGTAAGAGCAAAATATCCAGTATAACTCCTTCCTAGTCGATATTCATCACTGCTCCTAGTGATGAGGGATTACGGCATTCCCAGCTTGCTGACTGTGCAAAAGACCAACACTTTTACTGCTATGAAAAGAAACTGCTCTGGAGAAGCCATGAAGTCCACTGACAAGGGAAGGCATGCAAAACTCATAAGGATGTGGCAGAAAGTTGCAAGTGGTAGCCAGCACCTTACAAAAACACTGCAACTCAACAGGAAAAGCAGCTATAAGCAATCCCATGTATGCTGACAAGTGCTGCAGTACAAGAAGATTTTCCTCAGTTTTTTGAAGCAGATTGGAGATGCTATAACAGCTTCAGATGAACGAATTTGGATTTGCTTTGACATCCACGCCAAACCAGTACTATTACACAAAAGTAGGCTTATTTAATATTGTCCACTTTTTTTAGTCTAGGAAGTTACTTGACTTATAATCAAATATTTACCTGAATGTAAGGCAAAAAAGGCGGCTAGGGAATGTGAACTTTAAGCACTCAGGCAAAAGGCTTCTAGCACTCTTTTGCGGTCGCGTTAGTTTTCCACAATCTTAACAAACCAGATCATGTCATTAAGCAATGAGATACATGCTAGAGATAGCATAAGGGAGGCAGTGGGTCACGCACTGAGGAAAGGTGGAACAAACAGCAAGTGGCAGCATGTTGTTAGATCCATTCCGCCCATCCTTTCTAATCACTCCTTTAAAAAGCCTCATCAGTAGCTCAGAATTAGAAGACAAGCATGTTAATGAACTACTCCTACTACCCTGAACATCCAGGAAGCCATTCAAATTAATGGCTCAGATAGGTTTCAGAATTGATGCCATGCTGGTGCAAACAGAGAAAGTTCACACATCTCTCAGTTACTGGCCATTTGCTGTTTTCAGAGGACAGTGCTGAATCAGTTTACTCTCTGGTCATTTTTTAACTACTTGACTGATAATGGGCTGGGAGGGGGGCACCAAGTTGAATAAATTCATTTCTGCAGAACACAACTCTGAGAAAGTTTGCCACACAAGTTGGGGGGAAGGTGGTATCAACCCACCACAGCTACCTTAGTTCCTCTTGTTCCCATGAGAACCCTTTCAACATTACATAGAACTGTCTCAGCTTGCACATTTAGCTACGTCTTCTGGATCAGAAGCATTTTCAGATGGACTTACCGCAGGAAAGGTGCTCGAGGAGTACCGTTGCTGTCCAATTCATACAGGGAATCTGCCCGCAGACCATCAGCGACAAAGAGCACGAGACGTTTTGCTGGGGGTGGTAATGGAGTCTGCTGAGGAGTCATACCATGAACCAGAGGGGAGGTGAAGTAGATGTCAAAAATGGAGGCCAAGAAGACACAATGCACAAGGAGACCAGCAACTATGAACACTGGCATACCCATGACGACAGGAGCCTTGTAAGGCAAAGTTCAACACTGAGAGGGAGTAAGAAAAAGAAAGTGATCACAATGAGTCTCATCTGATAAATATTCATTTCATTTGTTATAGAATAGGAGTACCATAACTACAGACATTACCCAATTTCATAATCAAGCTCTATTTATAACACATTTTTTTCCCCAGAAATTCTCTTCTTGGTCAAAAGTCATTGAACTGCTGATTCAGACTTACAGATAGTCATCATGTCTCAGCATCTCATCTGTGGTGCTTAGTGGGATATCAGGTGACTTCGTAAGACCATAAATCAAGCCAGTGCTTGATTTATGCTATTCAACAGTTTTTATGTTATTTCTTTAATGACACAAGAATCAGACAATGCAGTGTCTGTACAAACAGACTACTCTGACCTGGCTGATTGTGTGACAGTGTTGAGGTGTGTTTAGTTGGACACAAATCAAAGACAGCTAAGGTAAGCCAAAGGATCCCTGCAGTGATTCCGAAGCAGCTTTCTGCAGATTTACTATCAGTTCTGGGCTCATTATACGCTGTCTACAAACAAAGAAACTTTTTAATAGAATAAGATGCCCTGTTTAAGTGCAGAACGCTATTACTCTAGAAGACATGACAAAAGAACAACAGCTGAAGACCGTTTCAGTTGGGTAATGGCATATGCTTTCCACTCTGTCATCCTTTGAAGTCAGCCTAGTGATGGAAGTATGCATAAGCAACAGGTATACTAGAAATACACACCACTGCCACATGCATACTCGGCGTTTCATCTGAGGCCTCCTGAAGCCAATGCAAACACGTATATTGACTCAGGTAAGTTTTGCATCTTAGTCTGAATGAGGCTTGCCTCAATGGAAAGTATTGTTAGTTTTGACCAAGCTGTTAAATTCCTTATTCAAATATAAGCTGATTATTTATCAGTCCTACTCAAACAGCATCTCCATTCACCAATTTAGAAACAGTGATGGTCCTAACAGCCCAAAAGATTCAGCTGCTCAATTGCCTATAGACATACACATCTCCCTCTAAAAAACTGCCCACTGTAGAAACTAGTTAGCGCCTCTAAATAACAATATATACATTTCTTTTATTACTTACAGAACTTCAGTATTTAGAAATATGAAGACTGACAAACCCGGTCAGCAATCACATAAGATTATTCTTATCAAGCACAGAAAAGGTTTCACTACCACATAACCTTAACTCGGACCAAAACTCAGAAATTTTTTTATCCAAAAAGGCAGCTATATGCATTGTTACTTATTAATTAAAAGAAAATTCCGGTCTACACGTAACTTAACCATAATTTACAATTTCATTCATTTTCCCTATTGAAATACAGACGCAATCATCTCAGCCTTAATCAAAAACATTAATATAATAAAGATTTCTCATTTTCGAGACTGAGGGGAAAAAACAGGTAGCAATCAAAACTGAGGTAACTAAATAAGCAATTTTCAAGAGAGACATCTAGTGGTCATAGTTAAGTAACTAAATAAAAATGTTTTATTAAGCAGGAGCTTATATATCCAAAAAGTGAGACTATGAATATTTGAAAATATCAGTTTCTTCATTTTTCAGCACTTGAGCTTTTTATTTTTAAGCACTCAGATTTTGTGCATGAAGTTAAAACACATGAAGCCAATGAGAATCACAGAAACACCATCAGGTTGAACACAGGATCTCATTTTATGCAGCCAGTTTTATTTTCCATCAGACTTTTCCTTTTGCTACGGCTGTATTTTTTGATAAGAGAACCAAAAGTACTCATGCTTTAAACTGATGAATCTAAATATCCTATTAAACAGAGCAGTTGCTTTAATCAGATACTTGCTGTTGCACATTCCCAGTGCTACAACGCTATAAGCTTAACATATTCTAAATTTTTCTAATTAAAGTATTAGTAACCTAATCTGTTTTCAGCGCTAGATATCTCTCTCGGCTTTAACTCCCCAAGCCTGAGCCCCAGCCTAAGGAGTACAGGGAGTGCAGTAACACAATTTAAGTTTAATACTGTCTCATCAGATTATGGTGATCTACAGAATTAATTTAAGAAAGAATTTTCTTTTGCAACTACAGTTTAATTACATTATACTGAACTATTCCTCCAGGTAAAGTGTATCTAGCTGCTCATTACTATCAGAATATTTCAAAACAGGGAGTTCTCAATCCACCTGCTTCTGCCATGTCCTTCATAGCAGCTCGTTCTGCCTCTAGCTTAACTTCAGTACTTTAGCGCACAACACTGTGCGCAGTGACATAACATCATCAACAGCATCCTACCATCACGCTTACAAATTCTTTCCCAATGGTATGAACTATAAACTATTGGGAAATTTCTTAAGCAGATACCCAATTGCATCTCAGCAGAATGCAAGAGTTCTACCTTGGTCTCTTTCCAAATCACAGTCTTGCTTTCAAACTAGTAAGCCATTGCATGACGTTTCGTAAATCAACACACGTCTGTGATTATAGACAGTTCTAGCTCAGTGAACAAGGTTTAAGAACAGTCAACAGGAAGCAGTTCTACAGAAGCAACCGCCTCCTCCTATACCTTTTGAGGCTAATGAAGTTAAAACTGAATTTGGTCATTGCTAGCTTAAAGTACCTAAACTTCAGTTAAAATAGCCAATCTATAAAAGAACGTATCCTCTTCTAACATCCAAAGTGCCATGGAAGAGTAACCAACATTTCCGGTAAACTGTGATTTTCAATGAAAAGGGAAGTTTTATCATTTCCTGGATTTGAGGCCTCCAGTCAAAGCACCTGGTCTACCCCTGTGTAACAAAGCCCCAAGACCAGGCTTTTTTGAGCAAACTTTCCACAGGTCCATTCAGAACCCGCTGTCAGCCCCTCTCAATACATACTCTACAGTTCAGAGTGCACCCTTCTTTCTTCTCAGACTGTTAACGTTGAGACATGTTTGACTGCAAAGAAGGGTGAAAGAAAAGCAAATGGGCACATGGATGACATCCCCTGTAGAGTTTTTGTTACTGGCAGCTGCATACTAATGCTTTTTTCATCTTCAAGCATTTATCTACATGCTCCTTCTACTACTGCATAGGCTTCTTGAAATTTCTTGAAATTTTCCTAGAGTCTCTAAGACAGTCAGAGGGTTCCCACAGGAACACCACCCGTGAAAGACACTAATTTCACAAGTCAGTGTAATATCAAATGTGTTACCACGTGCTTAAAGAACGCCTGCCCTTGGAAATAAACATCACATTCAGATATTAATGGAATAAAATATTCCCTACTAAAGCAATGCCTTCACTAGACCTCTGAACTTATGTATCATGGTCTAAGACAGACACAGGTGGAAGAGAGTTGAACATTAGTCTGAAATAGCCCACTTTGCATGCACAAACTAGTTTCCATTTTGAAAAAGCGCTTGTTTATCTTACTGATCTGCTGTTGCGCAAAATAGACCCTGGGTGATACTGATTCAGTTCTTGGATGAACCGCTATCAGCTAAGACCACAGCAGTCCAAAAGGAGTGTCAGAGCTGTCATTCAGAATACTCTTTCAGTTTGCCTCTATTCAACTAAGAAAATAAGAGTTTTCACCCCTTCCAAGAAGGGCAGTCACCCTCACTGCAATGCAGGTTAATAACTACCGAACTCTGACTAAGACAAACCACTGGCACTTTATTGCCAATAACACATTTAATTGCAAACTTTCTATACTTCGAACATAAAAATAGGTGTCCTGCAAACTGGGGGGAAAATCCTCTTCCTGAATTAACAGAATGATTTCAGTCAAAGTCATTTTAATTCACATTTGCAGGTATTTAAGCTTCTCAAGTGTAGGATGGGTTACCACTTTTCGTTTTGCTGTGCAACATGCTAGTTATGCCCATGAAATTCCATTTATTTGATATGAACGGGGGTCGGTCCAAGGCAACAGAGAAAAAACCACCTCCTCTTAGAGCAGCCATCCATCTTCCAGAACCCCGCTATTAAAAATTGATTTATCATGAATCACTGAACCATGAAGGGCAGACTACCAGTAAAGTGGATGCAACAGATGGAGGGACTTCCATGATTTGTGAATATGCCTTCACAGAACAGGATGCTTAATGCTAAACAATGTCTGTGCTGTGCAATTGCAAGTACAAACATGCACGGCACTAGCAGAAAGATGACTTTAGACATGAATTGGACTCCTGTGGTGATCTCCTCTAGCGCACTCTGCTGTGCAAGAAGCCATTGTTACATTTTTTCCGCCCACCTCCAAGAGGAGCAGAATCATCACTTGACCTGTATTCTCAAAGATGCAGTGCAAGGTTTTGGACTTAAAGTCTGAGGAGGGATTCGCTGAACTGTCAACACAGCCTCCACACCACCTGTGCAAGAATAGCCAATATTAAAGCAGGAACTGGTTGATAGCGCCAGTGAATTTGAAAATATGGCTTTTCAGAGCACGGAACTGAGCCCTCTGCAATATGGAGATCTCTTCCATGCTCTTTTCTTTTTCTCACTTCATGCTTTTGCACCACTGTTTGACAGGGTGCTTCAAAAGCAAGCTTCCATCTGAAGGCCCAAGGCAGGAACCAGAGGTGGAACAGGATCTTACATGGGTCCCTACAGGCCTGTCAGAATCAGGAGGAGGTCCAGATGGAAGCATGGGCATCAAACTCCTACATGCCCAGCAGCCCTCTGGCATGCTCCTCTGGCTGGGAAGAGCAGAGAGCAGCTGAGCCAGAAGAACTCAAGTGCTCAGACATCCCTCAGGCCTACAGGGTGTTCTAGGCTCAGGTAACACTTCCCAGCAGTATGCATCTGCCCTAGCAGACGATACATTTATCTATGTACTATTCCTCAAAACAAGGTTCACATGAGATACAGAAATGAAATCCAGCTTCTCTGCTTTTATGGGGTACCCCATGGCAGGGCAAGGGGAGGGTGTGAGGAAACCAAGAGGCCCTCCCTCTTCTTCTCCCTTCCCTATTACAGAGGTCATCACAGGCAAATTTCTCTGCAGGGCCCAGTGCTTGGTGACTCCAAGGGAGAAACCCTGCAAGGCA